AAAGAAGAGGTGGTACATATACACAATGGAATATTATTCAGTCATAAGAAGAAAACAAATCCTACCATTTGCAACAACATGGATGGAGCTGGAAGATACTATGCTCACTGAAATAAGCCAGGTGAAGAAAGACAAGTGCCAAATGATTTCCCTCATTTGTGGAGTATAACAACAAAGCAAAATTGAAGGATCAAAATAGCAGCAGACTCACAGACTCCAAGAAGGGACTAGTGGTTACCAAAGGGGAGGGGTGTGGGAGGGTGAGGGGGGGAGGGAGAAGGGGATTGAGGGGTATTATGTTTAGTACACATGGTGTGGGGGGTCATGGGGAAAACAGTGTAGCACAGAGAAGGCAAACAGTGGATCTGTGGCATCTTACTACACTGATGGACAGTGACTGCATTGGGGTATGGGTGGGGACTTGATAATATGCATGAATGTGGTAACCACATTGTTTTTTCATGTGAAACCTTCATAAGAGTGTATATCAATAATACCTTTAAAAAAAAGAATGGCACAGATATTTTATCCTTAATGGATGTGTTAGGAAGAACTGATATGCAGATACATTTTTTTTTATGTGTAGCTCTCTGGTATTACAAGCCCAGAGAAACACTTCCAGAACATATCCTTTTGTGAAATAATGGGATTTTCTGTGGTGTATAGCCTTTAGGGGGCCAAGATTAGACATAAGACTTCCTGGCATAAAATTAACCAACTCTATGGCACCTAATAAAAATCTATTTAGTCATATGAAATGTAGAAAAATATTTTTATCAACATAACTATGTCTTATTTGAAACATTACATTGAATAAAATATATATTGACTTTAACTGTAAACATTAAAAAGATAAATACAAACTACTCTGAAAATTACTCTTAGATGATAAAATGCAAAACTCCCTCAAAGGGATCAGAAAAATCACTGAAATTAAAATTATTTCATGCTTGTATGTTAGGAACCTTACTAAAACAGAACACAAAAACATCCAGAATTTCTAATTCTGCTCAGGCACGGGCTGAAAATGAATTGTTTAAATGATTCTTTTTACACCGTGAGGACTTTCTAGGTGTTTGCTAAAAACATACCTATAGCAAAGAAACTATAACTATATGATATACAATTCTCAAAGCCAAGTTTGAAAAAAAATCAATTCTTCCATAAATTACAGTATTTAAAATACACACCTCATTCTCACTGAAAAATTACTTCATCTTTTAGAGAATATTTTGATGAAATTTGCAACGTTTGGATTATCTGGTTCAAAAAGACTCTTATGTGTACCTGGGCACAGCAGTTAAAAAACGTGCATGGGGAGTTTAGTGTACACAATGCGATGTGAAGGGGACTGAGGACTGTCTGCCTCTGCTACAGCCATCACAAAACAAAAACAGAAACTTTAAAACTACCCATGTGGCCAATAATGTTTGAAAGCCATATGCAGCCTCCCAAGCTGCCAGATTGCAGCTCAGATGCTTAGAAAAACAGTAGCCAGGGCAGATCTCAACCGAAAATGTGAACTTAGCAGCAGCAGATGCCAATACATTCCAACACTAACAGCGTGAATAGAATAATTTCCATGAGCAAGCTTCAGTTCATAACTTTTATTTATGCAGTGTAAGGTATACATGAGTGCAACAGCAAGCGAGGAGCTTGTTGATTATTAACACTGGCCACATGTCCTTCAAAACGAGATATTTCTACCTCTAGATTAGGAAGGGAGAATCTCAATCTGACAGAATCTCAATTCTGACTGTCCAAGGGGCCTCAGGTACACAGAGAACCAGTCTGTCCAAGCCTCACCAGCCACCGAAGGCCTCTTCACTCAGAGGAGGTAAACTGTTTCCGGGCCCCACAAGGGATCTGCGTGCACACCCTGCGACCCATTGGAATATCAGGGTTGGACTGTCATGAGCGAGAGAATTTACTGAGAAACTGATGAGAAGCAATGCCCAGCAAAGTGAATTGGTAATTTAACTTATTTATCATTAAATGCAGAAAGGAAAAAAGACAAAGCATGTGGAAATGACAGAGAGAGAAACAGAGCAAGAGGCAACAGGCAAGACCTTACCCGAGACCACCGAGACCATCCATCCTGAGGAAGAACTGAAGCGATCCATAGGTTCCTGAAAAACCTGAGGAACAGCAAGAGACGGTTCCAAGCGCTTGAGAGACGAGCTCTGGGTGTTCACGTGAGCTGACTGTAGAATGGATACTACAGACTTCCTTTCCAACTGACCGTTCCACAGAGACTCAGAAAAAGGAGCTTTGTTCTGACAACGAATCTAGAAATCCATACTGAACTTTCTGTGTGTATAGTCTGATCTGATTGGGATTCCTTTTAAATAATCATTTGTTAAATAGTATTTTCCACGCTATCTCCTTAAGATCAGATGTTGAATATAATGTTCACCATCTGAACCAAATATTTGCGATGCATCTTTAAACATGCAGACTTCCATGTTTTCTGATACTGGATTCCTCATACTTCTAAAATACTGAAACATACTCTTTTCTTGTGCTTTGCCAAAAAAGCCTAAACTTAGATTCTTTAACTGAAAAGAACCTAATTTATTTTTAGTTTGACTCTTTTGATATAGACGAATCACTCATTAATAATAACTAGATGAATAAAACCAGTGAATCCATATTATATATATAGTATGCTACACAATCTGTCAGTATTATAACAATAATAGTTAACATCTACTGACAATTTATTATGTGGCAGACACTATAGTAAGGGCTGTCCATGGATCATTTCACCATTTCACTTAATATTCTCCAAAATCTATGAAGTAGACACCATTATCCTCTTTCGGTTGCACTAAATAAGGCTCAGAGAAGTAACTTACAAAAGGCACTAAAACTATTAAGTGGTACAGTGGTGACTTAAACCCAAGTTCAAATTTATATTCTCTCTGTATATCTCTCTGTATCATGCTATGCCTAATTGTATATAAAACAGAGAAAGCACACTTTAGCTGAGCAGTAAGGAAGGATACTAATGGATCTAAGGTTTTATAAAAATATAGTTTATAATAAAGGAAAGCTAAACAATCTTTATATTTTAATATATTTGTCAAATTTTCTTCCTGCAAGATCTACAAGCCTATTTATCATTTTTAAAAAGCAATCTTCTATCATGAATGTTTCACCTATGCAAACTCAAAAATTGTGAACATGTTTGTGAACTGTGCTGTTGACTCTGCAAGAAGTTTAATTAGGAGGAAAAGCCAAACCAAATCCTGAAATCCATGAAAGTCAGATAAAACAACTTCAAGGTTTTAAGAAATTTTGTTGCAGATGGTTCTTTCAAAATAAATATGGAGACAAAGTTAAGGATCAATTTTCATAGCTTGTTGTATGACCAGATGTGAAATCTCACCTTTATTGCAGATGCCAACCTAGCGTGGCATAGATTAACTTTTCCATATAATATGAACAGTAGCACAGAATGGACATCAGTTCAAAAAAACCTAAAATTCAAACGGGAAAGCCCTAGTTTGGCTGTACCCAAGTGACCTATTCAGATGTCTCAAGAAACACAGAACATATCCTAATACTAAATGCTTAGACATAATTTAATTATATATTTATCCTTACTAAATTTATGAATAGATGCTGCTCAGTATATCCCTTGGTAATGAAATTTTCCATCACTACTCCATTAAATAAGACTTGAGACTTTGTATTATGATTAAATCAGTGCCTTCTCTAAAATAATATTGTCTAAATAGCTCCTTTAAAGATTAACAGTCTATAACACAGCAATTTCCATATAATTGCTTGGCAAATATAAAGTCAACATTCTAAAACAGTATGCATTTAGAAAACAGTATTTTCTATTGCTAGGAAAAAGATACATAGAAATGATTTTTCCTACAGATTCTGAAGTCAATGATGTGCGTCAGTCTAAATTTGAAAGTGTGAGAAGTTAATGACTACATTGTGATCGTGAAGTGACATCCTGTAAGATTTGAAGCCCCTTTTGGTTTGTCTCTTCTTTGACGTCAGCTAGAGACCTGAGATTCCACTTATTCTAACCGAGTACACATCTATGATAATTTCACTTCAACTGGAAGAAATACTTATCTTATAAATAAAATATTAAAGAAATTCTTGAGTAGGTAGATCACCTGAGTATATTTTATTCTCTTGGAACATGAATGGGTAGATGGCAAGGGTTGTATTTCATAGCAGAATCGATGGAAACTTGAAAGGAGGGGCATTTGAACAAAAGGTTTGTTAAAACTTTGTATGTGATATAAAGGCAATAAGGTATCAGATAAAACAATTATATTCCATCTTTTTTAAAAAATACAATTTTTTTTTACTCATCCATAGAGATTAAATATCACCAAAATGCCATCATCATAGACACAAAATTAACTATGTTTTCTATATTGAGCACTTATTTTTGGCTTTCCTGTCAGTTTCCCATTAAATGGAGAAAGAAAGACCAATCATTGCTACTGAACTGATTCCTAAGGATCTATTTTTAAATCATGTTCTTGCATAAATTTATTCTAAAGGGTAGTCATAAGGTAGTTTTATAAAAGAAAAATCACTATTTTAGTACCAAAGGGAATGTGGCATCTAATTTTAATTGCATAATACATATTCCAAATAACTATCAAAAGTATTAAATTTCTGTAATAAATATCTCCCAAAGTGTAAATACCAAGGAATATAAAGAAGAAGGCAAAATTAACTAACATGGGATTACACTTCTAAAAGAAAATGAATGAACTGTGTAATCTTGAGCTATAATGACCTCACAGGAAACATGTTTTCACAAAATGTTTCTCCTATACAAGAGACATGGCAAATTTGAAAAAATAAGTTAAATGAATTAAGTTACACTTTACAAACGTGGGACTGGGTAACTAAAATATATTAAGCTGCCATTGCTTGAAAACCGAAAGGTACTGAAAACTGCAATATACTAAATAGGTCAATTTTCACTAAGATTTTCTTTTAGGAAAACTATTGTGGATATAATTTATTTCATTTCAAAATAAAATTTTGAAGGCAAAAAAATCCCATGGTATTTCATAAAACTAAGTCCGCAATAAAAGAAGAGATTGGCTGTTATGCAGAAAAGAATTGTGTAGAAAGAATGGTTGTTGTGCAGGAAATGGAATAAAGGCGGCCAAAAACCAGTTTTAGGGAACCAGTTATAACATTAAGCATCCTCAGAGCTTCTGCTTTTCTAGCTAATTCACCCTTTAAAACTCAGTGACTAAATCTATCATTAAGTGATAAGTTATAGGTTAATTTTTCCTATGCTCTAAAAAAACATATGTTGAATTTCCACATGCAAATCTTCCATGAAATTTCTGACTTTCACTATTTGAAAATTTCAGATTTTAGCTATTAGAAAACCAAGAGATGCAAGTACGTGCCCAACCAAAGCAATAGCAACAAACGAGGAAGTACCAAATGCTAAAAGCTACAACCCCATGGAGAAATACATAAACACCAATAAAGCAAATAAAGGGGAAAAAGCATCTTCCAGAGATGTGACCGTATATACAGGCTATTGTTCAAAGTTGAGAGTCACAGTAAGAAGAAAACTTCAGACACGCCTTTGCTCTCATAAGAACAGCATCTCCTCCATCAACCTCCTGTTCATAACAGGTCCCTGCTATCATTTGCAAACAAACACAAAGATTCAGAGAGAATAATAGAACCACAGCCCCAGTCTGTAAATCGGCATGCACCTGTGATATGTGACTATCTTCATAACAGCACATCTTACCTCATAAGACCAGACACACTGAGTCCCACCGAAACGTCGGACACATCTTCCTACTTCCACGTCCTCATGAGTTGTGTACATTTCTCTGAGGCATTCACCAATATGCGGCGCCATCCTCCTGAGAACCTCTCGACTGAAGATCATGCCAGGTCCTCCCATGCAGAAATTCTCCCCAGGCTCCAGCCCCAGCTTTCCAAGTTCTTCAATATTCCCCAGGCCAGTCTGGCCCAGGTAGAGGGGCTTGCTGCTATTCAGTGATCTAAGAAACTCTTCTAACTTATCACCTACAAAGGAAAAAACAACAATCATTCCTTTTCCTAATTTCAAAATCACTTATACAAAGCAAGAGACAGAACTTCCAATATTGTGTGTAAACTTCCCACAAGTCTATTATGTAAAAAATATGAATTGATCGTTCTTAATGAAATCATGAAAAATGTTACCAACTTTCCAGTCAAGGTCACTGAAAAACCTGAATAAATCTAACAATCATCAGACTCTTTTTGGAAAAGGTGAGATAATCACAAGGAGAATGAAAACATATTTCTTAGCATGTTTGCAGTAATGGTAAAATTCTCAAAAACATAATCTTAAGTGCTTACACATAGCATTGATTGGCAGATTGTTGATTTCCAATAATTATTTTTTCCTGATAATTTAGTTCAGTGTTTTGTTCTTTCCTAAACTTCACTCACATACAACCCAAAAGTTATGTAAACACATACCTACACACACAAAGAGAGACTGTATCAAAGTAGTCTGATATTTAACCTTGAAACTTTGGAAAGCTCCTTTTGGAAAAAAAACAAACATTTGTTAAAAATTAAATAATATAATTGGTCTCCTTACAGTCTATAAAGTCATCAGGGAAAAAAATTTTTTAAGTAAAATTCTGTAGCTAACACAGTTCAAAAGCATTTAGTAGTCTACAAAGTGATGCGCTACAATAAGTAGTCACCTTCATTATATTCCTAATCAGCATCCTTACTATCATTTTTGATGAACAGGCATCTGCAAGCTACTTATCTTGATTCCCATGCCACGCCCCTTGGATCTCAGTGAGTTTCAGCTGACTATTACTAGGCTCTTAATAGAAAACACATTTCATTCTTAATAGAAATGGAAAGAATATGGCATTTCAGTGTTCTGAAGGACAGTCTTTCCAGGCATTAAGAGAAATGACAGTTGGAGATGCTGCTAATGCATTTTAGAAATTCTCTAAGTGTGGCAAACTTTTGCCAGCAAACCTTTGTGATTTAATCAGACAGAAAACAAGGGGACTCTAAGATAGTTGGTCAACCACACTTACAGGGATATCTCTATCTACGAGACAGTGTGTTCATCAGAAATGCAATTAGTTCTTTACTTTCGTATGGAATTATCTATTTTTTATCAACTTATCAGTAAATCCTTCCTATGCCAACATACCATAGGGTGATTTCACTCCTCTCATTCCAAACCAGAGAAATCTCCTATTACCTCTGCCCTTAATCCTTGCGCCAAAACGGTATAGATTTTTGTTTTTACTGAGTCCTGTGAAAGATACTACTTGAGTCAGGAGGAAGCAATGAGGCTGCAAGCAGAGACCCATCAACTAAGGAAGGGCTGCTCCCTTTGACCGACAAGCTAGGAAATGTGGGAACACAGGGACACCTCGTTTGAGACAACCCTGCTCCTTCCCTCGAGCCCCTTTCCGTCTCCGCAACCGGCTAGACTGGAAAGATTTTTCCTGTTCTAAGGCACTTCACCCCGCAGAATTTAGAAATTTCTGGCCAGAGGCCCCACACTCAGGGTGAAGGACCGCGCCTTTTTAAAAAACTGACAAAGTTCTTCTCATGCTGTGTGGCTGCGCGTGACTTTGGGAAGGACTTCCAGCCTCTGCTTATCGCCGCAGCCACCAAAATGGACTGGAAAGGATCCACACTGGTGTGTCCTAGCATAGCTGGGAGCTCCTAGGACCTGATAATTTCAGGCGTGTTCCCTTCTTCCCCACCACCCAAGTCCTGACAACACGGCCACCCCCGCGGGATTTCACTGAGGTGGGGCGAGGGGAGGGAGACAGCTCGGTGCTGCCTGGGGCGGCCGGCAGGAGCTGCGCGTTGGGCGGTGGGGGGGCTGGACCCCCAGCGCGGGGCGGATCCCCGAAAGGGACGGAAACGCACAGGGAAGGGTCCAGGACAGCGAACACGATTCCCTAATCTCACTACTCCGAAGCTGCGCTACAGCCATTAAAACAAAAGGGCAGAATAAGGCACCACCGCGGATCTCCAGCCTGGCTTTCACCCGCGCCCCGGGGCTCCCCTTTCTTCACCGAGGACACGCCCCTCTTAATCATTCTGGGCAACTACCACCACCGGGGGCTTTCAGATCAGGGCAGAGCACAAACGGCCTTCGGTTTGACCGGGAAGCCCCTTCCCTCACCTCTCCTACTTGGAAAAGAGTAGGGGGCAAGCGCTGGGCGCAAAACAAGAGCAGCAAAAATGAGGAGGGAGAATAAAGCCGGGCAGGTGTGAGGAGGGTCCAGACTGCCGGAGAGGAGGAGGAGCGGACTAGGAATGGTGGGCGGGTGCGAGGGGTGGGCACCGCGGGCCGGGGGCTGCGGGGGCCCGGAGCACGTGCTGGCAGCGAAGCAGAGAGGGGCTGGGTACGGATTGGGGCTGGTTCCAGAGGAAGGAGCCAGGGAGGCGGGCAGGTGGGACGGCGGCGCTGGGAGGTCACCTTTGATATAGACGTCGTCGTCGGCGCGCATGAACCACTCGTACTTGTCCAGGTAATGGTCGTGCATGTACTTGATCATCATGAAGGACTTTTTCTGGGGAGGATAGGAGTCGTCCACCCCCGGTAGCGCGATGACAGGCAGGGGTGGCGGGGGCTGGCCGAGTCCGGCGTTGGGGGGCTGCTGGCTGGAAAAGAACTCCACGCGGCCGGGGATGAAGCGCGCCCAGGTCCGCTGCGCCGCCAGCGCGCGGCTGCCCAGGTACTTCTGGGCGGTCATCACCCCCACGTACAGGAAATCCCGGGGCAGGGAGCTCGGGGCGGCGGCGCCCCCGTCCCCGCTGCCGTTGTGGTTACTCCCCGGCCGGCCGCCTCTCCGCTGCCCAGCCGCGCCCCCGTCCTCCTCCTCGGGTTCCCCCTCGGCCGCCGGGGCGCCGGGGAGCGCCGTCGCGCCCTCGGGCTCGCGTCCGCGCCGCCGCTGCTGCTGCTGCGGCGGAGGTGGCTGCTGCCAGGGGCTGCCCCGAAAGCTGGTGACCCCGGGCGCTGCCTCGGGGGGCGGCGGCCCCTGGAGCTCCTGGCGTGCAGGGGGCGGCGACAGGCCGGGCCGCGGCCGGGGCTGAGGCTGGGGGAGCGGCTGCTGCGCGCCAGGGCCAGCGGCCGCGCGGCCGTAGTAGGAGCAGAGGCTGGAGCCGCGTCTCTTCCTTTCGCTCAGCTCGGCCACCCTGGGGGCGATGAGCCAGGACGCGGCGGTGAAGCCCAGCACCAGCCCCAGCGCCACGCTCACCCACGGGCGGCGGGAGCGCACGGCCATCGCGGCCGCCCCGGCGCGGACGCTGACTGAGCGGCCGCGGCGCCACGCGCGGGTCGCCCGGCTGCCCCCGCCCCTCCTCCGCCTCGGCGCCCCCAGCCGGGGCCGCTGCCCGCCGCCCAGGCGCCGACGCCGGCTCGGGGTCGGAGCGCCCCGGGCGCCCGGCCCGCGGCGGGTAGCAGCTGCCGGCCGCGCTCCCCGCTCCTCTTGGGGTCGGCGCTCCGAGCGAGGGACGGGAGTGAAACTTCTCCCGGCGGCGGCGGCGGCTGCGAGCGGAGCTGCGGGAGGAGCAGGAGGTGGAGCGCGGCGGCGGCAGCGCGTCCGCTCCTGGGCTGCCACCCTGTCACTGGCGCGCCTGGCCCCTCCTCCTCCCGCCCCCCGAGCCCCGCCCTCGCTCCCCGCCTCCCGCCCCCACCACCGGCCGCCGGGCTCGGCGCTGGCCCCGCGCAGGAGCGGCCGCACCGCGCCGCCGGCCGGGGAAGGCTCGGGCCGCGGTATTTCCCGGACACCCGCCCTGGACGCCCCCCGCCCGCGCCCCGGTGCAGAGCCGGTCGCCTCTCCGGAAGGAAGCGAGCCCGGTCGGGCCGCCTCCGGCTTCCCGCGCCGACGCCCCCTCGTCCCTCCTCCCACGGCCCCGGCTCTCCGTCCCATTTCCCGTCCCGTCCCGCCCCTCCGCCAGCCTCCCAACACCGCGTCCGGGGGAAGCGCTGCCCTTCGGCCGCTCTGACCTCACCGCGGAGCTCGGGTCCCGCGCCCTGCAAGCGCCCGCACCTCCGGCCGCGCTCGCCGGCCCCGGCCCACAGCCCGTCCCGTCCCGGCGTGACCCTTCCCCGTTCCTCCCCGCCCAGGGCCGCCGCGCTCCGCGCCTCGCCTTCTGCGTGCTTTTCACTGGACTCCCCGTCTTCTCTCTCCACAACGTGTCCTGCTCGGCGCGCAGAAAACCCTGTCCCAGCCTAGCACCTCTCCTGCCTGCCGGACTAACTCCCAGCCCCGACCTGCATCCTTAGCCGCTCCTCTCCAGCCCTACACAGAAGCACCACTGCCGCCTGGGGTCCCTCCTAAAAAAAGCTCGGGGGAATTGCAAGTACCACGCTGAAGGGCTGGGCAGATCACGGTGAGAGGGAGCTCAGTCCCCCGAGAACATGAATTCCTGCTCCCCACCTGCCTACAGGCCTCCTCCTCCTGGTCCGCTGTCCAGAAGTGAACACCATGAACTGTGCTCACTCCTGGTGGAGTCTGGCTCAGTAAGACTCAGACGGGGGAGGAGGAGAGGGAACACATTTTAGAGCCAATACAAGATTCAAAGACAATTCTTATACCGCCCCTGCCCCAAATAAGTGAACTTAATCAGAAAATAAAAGAGAATATAATGTTTATTCTTGTCTATAGACCATTTTCTAAGGCAATGTCAGGAAATGTTTTACCTCTCCAATTAGGGAGGAAGAACCTCCCACCACAGAACCTCAAAACAAGCTAAACTGTATTGGCCAAAATCATTAAAAGTTAGCTGATGAAGAAATTACCTGAGGACATGTGACATTTTGAAGAAAGGCACATTTTAAAACTTTCTCTCTAGAAGATGTGGGTGTAACTATCGTCCGAGGTGCATTTGGAATGCCAAACCCTTTCCTCTTCTTCAAATTCCAGTCTTCTGTTTTGTCCATCAAAAGCAAAGAGATGGTATTGAATGGCATTAGACACAGAGCTTGATCCAGCAAGGGGCTGGCAGCGTCCCTGGAACAGTAGGCCTGCCCAGGGCGCTGGGAAGAGTGGTTCTTTCCACACCAGTCACTGGCTGGGCATGAGCACTTCTGACGAAATGTTTCATCGGCTGGACAGTGAAGCTCCTTTTCCATGTCTAGTTCTTGCCCAGAAACACTTGGGAATACAGATTATAGGACTCTTTCTCAAAGTTTAATTTTAGTTAGAATACCAAACTAATCAAACAGGCACCTTCTGATTTAAAAATACATCTTTCCCAGGGACATTTTAAACTTTCTATAATAGTGCGATTCAATAGCCTAGTGCTATTGAGTAGCACTCTTCCTGTAATGGAAATTTTCTGTATCTGTGCTGTCCAGTAAGGCAGCCACTAGCCACATATGATTACTGAACACTTGAAATGTGGCTAGTATGATGGAGGAAATGACTCTTCAATTGTATTTAATTTTAGTTAATTTTGATTTAAAGGGTCCCATATGCCTAGGGGGCTGCCGTATTGGACAGCACATTTTCAGAGGAAATCCCTAACTAGGGTCAGTTGTGAGGAACAAATAGTCTACCTATGCACCAGCATACACCTCCCTGTGATATCCAGCCAGGTTTCATGCTAATGACTGCCATTCATGTAGTTGATCTACAAAATCGTTAGTTCTCATTGGGCACAAATAACCCAGTCATCAACTCTTACTAGTATTTGGGGATAAAGTTAACTTCATTCATTCATTTATTCAACAAATATGTATTAAAAATTTAGCATTAAACAAGGTGGAAGGCTCTGGACATGGAAATGTCAGCAAGATACTCATTGCCACCTATCAAAAAGTTTACAGTGCAGTAGAGACACATTAAACATCACATTACAAAGGGAATTACAGGGGTAACAAATGATACAAAGGGGAAATGCTGGGACAGTATTTACAAGTGCATCTAATGTAGCCTGGGAGTCAGGGGAGGCAGTTGGAGACATTGAAGTATAAAGACAAGTATTGAAATGATGTTCCATACTGGCTAAGTGACCTAGGAAAAGTTATTTAAATGATCTGAGCTTGAGATTTCTCATCTGCTAATACGTTTTTGTGAGGATTTATTAAGACATTGTATGTAACTAAGTACAGTGTCTAGTTCATTGTAGGCCCTCAGGAGATAATTAGTTCTTCCCATTTTTCCAGTCCTTCATGATAAAATCACTTAGATATCACCTTACATATTTTTAATGATATCTCATCCTTTCATTTATTCAATAAATATTTATTAGGTATTTAGCATCTCCATTAAACCAGACACTATTCTAGAGGAATAGAAGTAAACAAAACAGAGGAACTTCCTGACTTCAAGGGGTTATTGCCTACTGTGGAGAGACTGGATGTACACACACAGGACATGTACTATGTCAGTGAATAGCTGTTTTGAAAAACAGAGGTAGTGGGTGGGTCCATGTGTTGAATGAGGCCATTTTTAATTGATTGGTATACCTGAAAATCAAAGGATATAGTATATCCATTATAGTTCAATAGAAAGAAGGAGGGAGGGAGAAAGAAAAACATATGAACCAAGGAGGTGCATAAGGGGTCAGCTAGCAACTTTGCATCACAAATAAATACACAGATATGTTTGGGAAAAAAATTGATTAGTCACAGTTGTTTCTGATAATTTTAGCAGAGAACAGAAGAAAGTAAGGAAATCAACCAGAGGATATCTGAGGGAAGACTTTCCAGAAAGAGGGAATAGCCAACACAAAGGCTCAAGGTCTACATGGTGTATTGATGAACAGCAAAGAGGTGGATATGAGCTGGAAATGGGAGGGAGCTGATGGCTTGTCATTTAGGCCAGTGCTGTCCAAGAGAAGTGTAATGTGAGCCATAAATGCAAGACATGTAACGTAAATTTTTTCTTGTAGGCACATAGAAAAAAAAAACGGGTTAAATAAATGTCAACAATACATTTTATTCAATGCCCTATGTCTAAGATATCACTGCAGTAGGTAATCAATGTAAAATGATTACTAAGAAAATATACATATTTTTTTATTGGTACTAAGTTTTCTAAATCTTAGTACGTATTTTATACTTACAGCACATCTCCTTTCAGACTCGCCTCATTTCAGATGTTAAATCGACACATGTGACTGGCGCCCGCCCTATTGGCCAGTGCATGTTTTGATCCTTGAAAACATTTGTCAAGATTTTGGTTTTTATTCTGAGCAACAATGAAGGTGTTGAGTACAGTGGTGTGTTGTACTCTTTATTTACATCTTACAGGGACCACTCCAGCTCCTCTGGGAAAATAAATCTAGAGGGGCAGGGGACAAGTAGCATCAGGGAAAGCATTGAAAGCATTACTAAAGAGACCCCATCATTTCAGTAGAGGAGAAAAGGATATTTGTCTTTTCTATGTGGGGGGATATTCTTCTCACGTATCTGCAACTTTCCCAAATTTGTGACAAACAGAGGTGTTGGAAAAATTTTTTATGGGAGTTCAATTTCATATTTATTGAGATCCCTCTAGTTACTTGTTGGTCTTTCCCAAAGTCAGGGAAGTGATTTTCTCATACTCACTTTTGAAGATACATAAATTTTAGGTAGATAATTTTCTGGGAAATCTCTAAATCTCTACTGAGGACTAAGATTTTTATTAAAGAAAAAACTAAACACGTTCTAGAAAGAATTTAAGAAAAAAAACATTTTTGGGATGAAGAGTGTTAAGGGAAAAAGTTTGAATGGAAATGGTAACTGAAGAAAAAACAAATGTAACAAATGCATACTAAAATATGGCCAGATCTGTATACTGTATCAAAAGAGTGAATACAGAAAGGTAGGTGATTCTAATAATCACCTCCTAAAAATTTCTCATAAGATTGCTGTTCTTATCCAAACAGGAATGTTTCAACAGATACCTGTGAACCACCTGATAAAATCTCTTTATGAAGCACCTCAGTAGTGGACTTCGAGAAAAACAGCAAAAACTTTAAGAGTTATAATAATTTCTAGACAAAGGTGCAAAACAGGCTCCCTGTCCTCTCTAAATCCTGTGACACTTTCAAGTATGTGGTACATAGTGTTGCACTGAGTCATTAGCCACCTTCCCTGAGCAGAGGCTATCAGAGCAGAAGGAATCAGCTGGATGCACATGGAAACAGCTCTGGAAGGGGTGTGTCCCTGGCTTTGCAAATGACATTAACCACCCTGTCAACCGAGTCTGATACACTTAGAAAGAGCCATAGGGTAGACAGCTCTGAAGGTGCTACACGGAGGGTTTGAGTGGATTGGAAAGAATTAGCAATAACTTGAATATCACAGAAAAGGGACAAATGAGTTTCAAGGGAAGGATATCATAGTTTGATCAGTTAGGAAAGTTAAAGGTAGATATTTAAATTACATGGTTCAGTATATGCTTCTGTTACAAGTTCAGGCTTAGTACTGATACTTAGGGCTAGTATTTCACTGTGATATTTAGAATGTTATCATTTTTTTCCTGACAGACCAAGGCTAAGTTGATTTCATTTGCCTGAAGCAACTGTGGCATCTAGTGGTTAATAATCATAATGTAATTCCCTTTGTTTCTAAGGGGAAGATTGTGTTATAAAATATTTTTTGACATTGCCAGTAAATAGCTAGAGGGATCTTAATATGAAATTAAGC